TTTTTTTTTTTTTTTTTTTTTTTTTTTTACTTCAATATTTTTGGTTTCAAAATAATTTAAAGATATTTTTAAGTATTTAAGGTCTGGGGTATGATAAGTATGAGATTTCTTGGATTTCAATTAATATTTCTGCCATATTAACAAAATATTCAAGATGTGATTCCAAACTGAGGCAGTTTTTTCCATGACCCGTGGCTTGGTCTTAGACATTTACTGTCATCGTAAGCAAAACTGTTCTTTTTTGTATTGTTTATAAAATCATTAGAGAAAACTCCATCTCTTAACTGAACTAGTATAATTTCCTTTCACTCCAACAGAACTTGATATGAATAGCTACTTTTCTTTCACTGAAATTACTGTTCGTGTGTTCGTGGCTAGCTTAGATATTTTCCCTAGTGCAAATGACACCTATATAAAATTAACTAAATCCACAACCTCAGGAGAATTTAAGACTTATTTCCTTCCAAGATTCGTCTTCTTGATTGAACAGAGTTGTTCTTATAATAAAAAGTAAAAAAAACTGCTATCTATATTTTTAAAAGGTTAAATCACTTGATAGCAGGAGCCAAATTGTGATAGAGTCACTCTTAACCATGTTCTTTTTTATGCAAATACCTAACGTCCAACTGACTCTATTTTATATACTCTACTTTGAAATCATACACATAGGATTTACTTTATTAGAAGCTAAGTCCAGATTGATATGCCTTGAAAGGTAAAAGAACAAGGTAACCCCAAATAAATCAATTGCAGGAAGGTTTTGGTACATAAAATCAGTATTTCGGTTTGTTTTGGGCCTCACAAAAGCATGTGGTTGATTTTGCTTCTTGAAGTGTGTGTGTGTGTGTGTGTGTGTGTGTGTGTGTGTGTGTGATAAATTCTTTAATGAATGCATGAGGGAAACTTCTGCAGAAGGCATTTTCAATGTTATGAGCAGTACAATATATTTTCTTTTATAATTAAATTTATTTCTTTTAGTACTTAATATTTCTAAGAAAGGAAAAATCAAAATGCATGAGATTTTGCTGCCTAGGAAACTAAATTATTTTTATGTGGAGAAGCTTTATATACTCTTAAAATGACAAAGAAATAGAGCTCTGTGTATGCACTTTTATTTTTATAATAATCTCTAGAAATATTGCAATTAATTTTGTGCAATGAGAACAGAAGTGTTCCTTTTCTGCTTGTGCCCAAATTGATCATGGCATTGAAATGTAAAGTTAATGACAGTCTATTATTGATTCAGAAATGATAGCAAAGTACAATCATCTTGCTAATTTCTATTTTTCTTAGAAAGAAAATGTTTTAATTGTGGTGGAAGATTTGACATTACAATGAAAATGTCTGTTGCTATTTTTTTTTTTTTTTAGGCAACTTTCATTTCACTTAGTACTACAGATACACAATTGTCTGCTTATTTACAAAGCTTCACACAAATCATCAGGCATGCTTAGCACTGGGTAAAAAGCACCCAAACTGGAAGGGGACTCTGCAAATGGAGAGTCTACTCAGTAGCTTTGTGATCTTTTAACCTCTCCAAGTCTTGATTACAACCTGTAAGACTGAGCTGATAACGGGTGCCTTCACAAAGGATGGTGAGAGTTTCAAATATAAATTTACATCACATCTGTGAAAATTGTGAGCGCTGACACATTGCAGATCTGATTGGGAGATCAAAATAATCCAGATAATGAACTTAATAATACCCTATTTTTGCAGCAGCTTTCTTTATTATTAACAGATTACTTGTGCACGCTGCATCAGTGGTTCTCTTATAACATGCATACTAAAAAGCAGCTTGAGGAAAATCTTTACCTGAGCAAAGAGTGTGTTTGAAATTTTGATGTAACTGCTGGTAATTAGAAAATAAAATGAAAATTAAACATAATTTCCATTTCTATTATATTTAATGTAGAACTTAATAATATTAATATTACATTTATATATCTTTTTCTTTTTGCTAATTTTGGTAGTTTCTTCAGTTCTCAGTCCTCCATTTACAACAGCAAATGAAAGCATGTCAAAATTTACTTTTTTGCCTCAAAAATCTTGGCCTATATTTCCAGATCTGGAATTATCCTTACAGTGACATTTTCCTCGTCTCATTTAACACCTTGCCTTTTCCTTATAAAATCATATTCTCTTTTCATCAGTACATCTGCCCAAAACACTCTTCGCCTTGACAGTTCTATCCCACACTCGCCTCTGAGCTTCTAACAAGACCTACCTCTGGGAATTGCAAAGTGCCATATTTAAAAATCTCTCAGCGAGATGTACAGGCTTCCCTGTGTGATCATAAGGGACCCCTCAAATCCGAGTTTTAGAGCTAATCTATGACAACTGATAAGCTCAGTGTTTTCACATTAGTGTATTTATGTTGTGCTAATATACTTAAACAGTGTGTATTTCCTTTGAGAATTTTTCCACACACAACTTTCTTATCAGCTTTCTTTTAATTTCTAAGGTAGAAGTCTTGCATATTTAATGAGAATTGGCTGTAGCTGGACCTGTGAGCTAAGAAGCATAACCAAATGGGAGGGAAGATGTCTTAGATGTCACAAAGAGTCAATGAAATACTAGTCTGCAATAAAAAGGCTGAAATGATCAATATACAACAACAGGGAAGAATTTCAGTCTAATGCTAAATTATAGAAACCAGACATAAAGATTACATATTGTATGAATCCTGTCTGAAAGGGCAGTACTACAAAGATAGAAACCAGATCAGTGCTTGCCAGGAGACACCAGGAGGACACTGCCTAACATGGGGCTTAAGGGGAATTTTTGGAGTGATAAAAATGTCTTCTTTGAAATAATAGTTACAAAGCTATATACATTTATCAAACTTCTCAATGATATACCTAAAAAGTGATTTCTACAGAGTAGAGGTCATACTTCTGTGACTTAAAAAGTTAACTTGTTAAAAAAGAGAGAGAGAGAACATACTTGTAGTTTTGAGTCGTATAACATCACTTTCTGGGGAAGTTTTATTGATAAATATATTACAGGTCTGTTCTTCATCCATTTCTATGTCTTGCCCTAAATGTCTGACAGCAGCAGTTTTAAAGAACTAAAGGCTAACAATATAACTTATTAGTGTCCTGAGAAACTTTAGGATGAAATGATACTAACGAGTATATTATGAAATGTCTGCCCTAGTCATTTTTATTTTTTTTTAATCATCAGCAATTAAGCTACTTCTCCCAGGCTTTTTTGCTCTTAATATTAATGACTAACAAATTCTCTAAGGTAAATGGTATTAGGCACATTTTAAATAAGAGGGATATAGGGTGAGAGTGATGTCAATGACAAATGTCACAGGTACCTCTGGTTTCAAAACCAGCACTAGAAACTACAGTGCACTGTTTTGACTAATTTGATGCTAGTTTTAATTCTTGAGGATGAGAGTGCATGTCTTTGGAAATAAGCTGCAGTGAAGAAATTCTTCCCTTGAGGGAAAGAAGATTTTCAAAAAGAACTGATCCTGGTTACTGAAAAAAAAAAAAAATGGGAAGAAGTGAAGGGTCTGTACTAACTGCAACTCTTTAACTCGATTTAATTACAGTAAAGAAATGCATTTATTTCTAACCTCACATAAGCTTAGTACAGCCATGATGCCAAATTTTAGTGATACTCTTTTTGAGAATTTTTCTGATGTTTTAAATTTATGTTTATCACTGAACTATTATTTTTTCAACTGACCAGTAGTCATGTTTTTAGACTTTAGTGGTTTACCACTACTTTACTTGAAAGTAGCTCAACAGTTTCTATATAATAATTTCGGTTTGAAAGTCATTATCAAGTGTAGGTATTCTTTGAGGGGACAAGGCTTACCTGTAGAGAGATGAAAAAAAAAGTCCTTAAAATGTGTTTGGATTAGCTTTCTTATTGGATGAATAATATTTTAAATAGGTAATATGTATTTGAGTCACCATCCAGCAGCTGCTCCTTCATAGTGGAATTTTTTAAAAAATGTAGCCTGCCAGAAACTCTTACCTTTTGTTTGTAATTGTCTAGCTATGCCTTTTCTGCTCGCATTGAACTGTATGTACTGCATGCTGTAGAGGTGTGCAGCTAAAATACGTTTATTCTCAGAAATATTTTTAAAATATTTTAAAATGTTTTCCTTTGCAGAATCAGACACAAGTTTGGCAGAAGGAAGTGTCAGCTGCTTAGATGAAAGTCTTGGACATAACAGCAACATGGGCAGTGATTCAGGCACCATGGGAAGTGATTCAGGTACTGCCTAACTGTTGTGTAAACCTTAAAAAGTGTGAAATAAGACACCATATAGTGGAATGCATGGGGGCTGTTCATACCCTCCCTAATGTATTTATGCAATTAAATCAATTCTTTTCTACAGTGAGTCGTTTGGAACTTTGCCATTTATTTTCTTTAAAAGTACAACTTACAAAAGTCTTAGAACCAAACTCTCATTTTGATCCAGGACATAGCTTTTTGGCCTGGTATAAACTACGTTTCATAAAATCTTGTCATCTACTTTATTTATGAGATCTGCTTCAGTTTTTTGAACCACACTTAAACTCTGTATGCATTTGGTACATTTAACTGTCTCCAAATGCTGCTTTTTATTAGAATTAATTTTAATGAAAATTTAACATTACCAATGAAGGAGAAGGGGCTGGAGATAACAAACAGAATCCCTCTTAGAAAGAGAGCTGGAAGGGCCAGGGATAGAGCTCAGTGGCACAGCGCCTTCCTGGCAAGTGCAAGCTTCTGAATTTGATCCCTAGTACAAAAAAAAAAAAAAAAGGCTCGAAATTGCATTCAGTTAAGAGTTCCAGTTTGTACACATAGCTTTTATTTATTTTTAAATTTATTTATCTATCTATTTATTTATTTATTTTGATTTTTGAGACAGGGTCTCCCTTGTGGTTCAGGCGGACCTTGAACTCGCTATGTAGCCCAAGCTAGCCTCGAACTCATGGCAATCCTCCTGCTTCTGTCTCCAGGGTGCAAGGATTACCACGGCGCCCGGCACACGTAGCTTTTAAACAGGAGTGGAACTTACACCGTGTTTTGTTCACTAGATGAAAACTCTACTAGGAATTTCCGCATTACTCTCGAGGGCTTGCACATCACACCAGCAACGACCGGGAGCGCCTCTTCTGAACCCCACTCCTCCATCACACTTTCTTACCAGATTTCTCCCTGGTCTGTTGGATAGGGTCACATTTTTTAAAAATTATAAACTGAATATTGGTACTTTTAGGTATAAAATACAGTTCTATTAATCTCTGATATCTTGTACCTTGACATGACAGACCTCGGTTCTTATTTTTCCCCATCCCCCTGGCCTCCCTTCCCCCCTCCACCCTTCCCTATTTACAAAGACTTGGTTTCCATTTCTTTCCTTTTCTCTTCCCTTTTTACCTTTCTCCTACCTCCCATGTGCCCAATACTTTCAGACCTTTTCTTCCTATTACAACATATCAATTACACATTTTGACCCTTATTTATACTTTTAATTCATCACACCAAAGAAACTATACGGTATTTACACGTGTGTTCTATTAATTTCCCTTAAGAGTATGTCCTCAAGATGCATCTACTCAGCTATAAATGTCTCTAGTTTCTCATTCTTTATGGCTGAGTAGTACTCCGTTTTATTAAAAAAACCCACATCTTCTTTATCCAATTTCCAGATTATTTTTTTTTATTGCTTGAATGTGTTTTCAGTGATTACTACTGAAATATTATCATCCCTTAAGGATGGGTGAAGGGTTATCAATTATAATTAACACATCAAAACCAAAAATGCTTACTAGTGTATCCAGATAAGAAGCAATGGAACACTGACAAATGAAGAAACAAATTATTTTACTCTCCATTTGTGATTCACTCATTTTCACTTTTAAAAAGTCTATAATTCCGATCACTCTGCACTCTCAGAATGAAAGAAATATAGATAAATAAGAGGCCTAACAGGGAACAGCTGCTTACATAGAGAGGGTCATCTGCCTAAAAGCTTGCTGCATTTTATCGGAGCACTGCTTCTGTTTATATATTCTTCTCTCACAATCATATCCCTGAATCCCTTCGAATAAGTTACAGTACTTTGAGGAAAGCTAATTCACGAAATGTCATTCATAGCTTTAATTATATGGGTGAATCATTTTCTGATCAATTCAGTCAGTGTTTATTAAGTTCTTGCCATGTGTTTATTTCTGTAGATCATATTTGTTTTTCTGTCATCATAAAATTGTTAAATTTAATAATTAACATTTCTATAACATGCTATTGATTCTAGATCTTAAAATATACGCTAGCTGATATTTAATCTCTTTATGGATTGTTTTAAGATGCTGGACCTCGTCCTCATTTTTATTTGTCTAAGTAAGGGCTTTTCAACAATATTTATCCATTTAATAAATATTTAAAGCATATCCTCTATGTACACAGCATCTTGCCTATTCAGAGCTGTTAGCAAATGTATTTACTGATTTTTAATCTTCAATGTGGCATGAAAGACATGATAAATCCTAATGCAACCTACTTCTGGAAAGCAAATACATTTTCAAAGACAAACACATTTTTAAGACAAACACATTTTCAAGGGATATTGTTGATGTTTTGATGGGTCAGTGTTTAGGAACAAAGAACTGCTTTGCAGAGTAGGTAGTAAAATTCTCAAGTGATAAAAATATTAAGTTTCTTAATCTCAGGTGCATGCCATAGTTGAAATAACAATAAATTCAATAAAAGATTTTTGTAAATTTGTGAGTTACTAATATATAATGAGGCATTTAAAAAGTACTAAAGTATTTTATGATTATGTTTTAGCCTTTGAGGTTGACATAAAAAAAGTACCTTATTTGATGTGTCCTTCATCTTTCTTCAAAAATAATATACTAGACCATAAGGACCATAGAAATGGACCCACATGATCACATTATGCTCTCTGGAAGTATTATACCACATAATTACTGGTTCGTTTAATGTTCAGATATTCTAATTGTATTGTGAAACATGTTTTTCCATTACCCATTTTCAGAGAGAGAGAGAGAGAGAGATAATGCTTCTCAAAAAGTGGCAATGTTTGTGTCAACACACATTGGCCTGATCTGTTGAAAGTATTTCCTTACTATTTCTAGGTAATGACTATTAATATTTGACCAAATGGAATGTTGTATTTTTTGTGGTTATATACTATAGGTAAAGGAATACTTTGTCGATTTCAAACACATGCAGTGACAGACCTTTTCTCTCCAAGAATAACTCAGCTGTCAAAATCAATGTGAGAATAAAATTTGCCACATGGTGTAGTTCCAATAGAATATTATTATTTAAACTCTATTTTATTTTATTTTTTTTACCATTGTTGTGGTATCATATACTTTAAGGTCTTCAATCATTGTTTTATGATATAATTCAAAGCCTGTGCATATTTTAAGTACTATTTTCATTATGGTGTTTATTATGCTTTATGGAGAGGCGAAAATAAACAAACAAGCAAAAAATCCAAACTTCTTTTATATAAAGGAAATTGGCTCCTGGCTTACTGATATCAGCCCAGTTTTCTCCTTCTGGTTACAGAGAAGAGAAACTCTTTTTTCATTACACAGATAAATTCTTCCTTCCCTGTGTCAGATGAATGTGATAAAACAAGAACCGGGCTGAATATTTAGCACTCACCCAGCTCTTTTTCTTTGGATGATATTCTCACACTGAATCCAACTCTAATTTTTTTTCCCATATCCACTGTGTGTTTCTCTCTTAAACTTGGGGCTGCCCAGCAGATCTCCTGGTCTTGACTCAAAAGTATAGATTACTGAGGCAACTAGCTTGCCAGATATTTTAGGGGCAGCCGCACAGTGCACTAGACTGAAGTTCTTCAGACAATGGCAGTGCATGGCAAATAATAGGTGTTCAGTAAATATTTACTACAAATAAATTTGTAGTGTACACGGGCAGTTAATTAACAATGCAACTTCATTCTGGAGACTGGTTTTGGAGTTACATTGTGAACACAATAGTCCTTTTAACATTATACTTCTTAAATTCATTAGTACAGTAAATATCTAATATACACAAGTAATGTTGATATTTACTAATTAGACTTGGTTTTAGGTTCCTGGGATAGATACTTAGAAAATCACAATATGTTTCTTTTTCTCATTTTGTTACTAGAGGATATCATAGTAAGTGTGAAAAACAAAAGGGAGAAATAATACTAAAAAGCAAAACAATTATGAGAAAGACATCATTTTATTGTTTTTAAAATCTGTGCAGAAATTTCCACAGTGAAACTCAACAGAGAATGTATTAATTTCTTCTAACCAATTTCCGAGATCAAATAACAATGTAGCAAAATTAAACTCCTGGATCTTGGTATAGACACTGCTGAAAATACATTTCCTTTATAAATATGTGAATATTCTGGTTCTTTTAAGAGAACATGATATATTCTCATAATGGAGGTGAAATATTAGGATTGAAACTATAAAACCATTCTGTAAAGAAGTAATGTTCTTAAAGAAATATGAATTTTACATAAACATAATAAAAAATGAACTGTTATAAGTACTATGGAGTTCAAAAGACATGCATAGAAAACTTGTAAAATGTGCATTTTGAATGCTGATGATCTTGTATGAGTTTTTCATGACAGTCATATCAAATTAAATGAATCAGCAGATGATCCATCGATAGCTTAAATGTATTGCATCTGTCTTTACTCACCCATACAGAAAGCGAATTTCCTGACAGATGAGTAGATGATTCTTGCTAAGTGGTATTTGGTGTGAATTTTCCTACCTGTTCAAATAGTATCATCACGACAAGTTAAAACTCACTCAAGTAGAATCATTCAGTTGGTGAAATGGAGCCATCAGCAAGTTTTTAGAAGTTAATGGCGTTATATTAGTTTAGTTTTATTGCCATCATTGAGAACAGAAAGAACACACTGGTAAATACTGTCACTCCATATTTTCTGGTGATTACATAAAACAGAAGATAGACTTTTAAATCAGTATACTTATTTTACTACATTAACTTTTAAGCTATACTTCTTTAGATGTGTTACAATTTATTTTAACATAAAATTAATGCATGTTAGTACCTACTTTATCATTAATACAAATTTTAAAAATCTATATTAATTGGAAATATTTTTAATATACTGTGCTTTAGATTTCAGGAAAACTTAATATGCAGAGGAATACATATAAGGAACTTACAAAGATCACAAATCAAACTAAATGGCAAAATTAGTCATAATTTAGTTTCAAGCAATAAAATTACTTTTACCATCAAATGAAAACCTAACAACTATAGGGTAACATAGGAAGAGTTTTTCTCCTACTCTCTAGATATCACATTGTACAACTTAATTTCCTCAAGTGGAAAAGAAGACTTCACACACTGTATCTGCAGCTTCCACGTCTACGCATTCAACCAACTGCTGATCAGAATATTTTTTGTACTAAACACATACATTTTTCCTGTCATTATATCTTAGATAATGCAAAATAACAACTACTTACATAGCTTTTACATTACATTGGGTATTATAAAGTAATCTAAAAATTATTTGAAGTATGAGGAATGAACTCGAGATTTGGGTACCCACAGGGATTTTGGAACCGATCCTCCACAGATGTAAGGACTCTCCCTATGTATATATGTGCTTTTTGGCATTTAGTTGTCAGACAATTTTTTTGACAAGTGAAGGAGCTAGTATCAGCTGTAATATTCTCTTTGTAATGAAATATAGAGGTGATACAGAGCAAGGAGGATTAATGAATTCCACTGTCCTAGTGCTCTTGATTTTTTTTAGGTGGCAGGGCTAAGAAAAATAAAACAAGAAAGAACAGCTAACCGAAGGAATGAAGGAAGTCTGATGCATTAACAACCACAACTGCCCGTCGTGTACCACAACATTTTCTGTAAATTTCCCTTGGCTTTGCCCACTCCGAAAACATTCCCAGCTCGTGGAAAACAACCCCAGCTCATAAGCTCCTGGGCCGCTGACTGTTAACTCACTCCCTTTACAGCCCTGACCCCTATACCACTTCCGTGATGGAGCCCCTGGGTTAGAACCTGCAAATGCAGTGGAGACACTCATCGATGCATATAGAAAACAGAAAAAGGATGGTTTGAAAAAGAGATCTAAATCTCAGAGACCTGCGATCAACTAAAGACTCCTAGCCTCAGTTATCTTATTGAACCTTTTATTTTTGTTCTTTTTAACTTACTTCAGATGAACCAACTGTGGCAAAAAGAGCATCTCCTGAGCCAGAACTGAAGCTCAGGTCTTACCAAATGGAAGTCGCCCAGCCAGCCCTGGAAGGGAAGAATGTCATCATATGCCTCCCTACAGGCAGTGGGAAAACCAGAGTGGCTGTTTACATTACCAAGGATCACTTGTTCAAGAAGAGGCAAGCATCTGAGCCTGGAAAAGTTATAGTGCTCGTCAATAAGGTATTCAAACAACACAAAAGCAGCATCACTTCTTCAGCTCCCCGTTATTATTCGAAGCTTTTATGTAATAATATTTGTAGCAGTGTAACACAAAGATTTAACTTAGGTAGAGTGGCAAAATAAGCCATTTACTTTACAGTTAAACTTACGTTTTACAGGTACGTCTAATAAGGGCTTAGCCTTAAAATGGTATTCTGTGCATAAAGCCATAACATAAAGTCAATATAGGCATAACTTATGTATAAATATTGTGCTTGCCAAAATATGCTTCAAGGTCAACCAGTACTGACTTAAGTCATCATTGCATGTAAGCATGAGTGATCTGAAAATATCCCGGAATCTAGAATCAAATATTGTCTGTTAAAATCTCTTTACTATATGATGCTTATTCAAAGATAGTAAGACCTCTTTATCCCCAATATATTATGATGTGGTTTGAAGATAAAAAGTAAGTTAAATAAATATTTGATTTATCCATTCCAAGATGAACATGTAAACATTGTACAAAGATTATATATATTATATATATGTAACATTAAATGCAACTGAAGTTTTCTTTGATAATTCATATCTTGTATCTGAAGTTTTCTTCATTATAAAACAAAAGTAGATATTTGAGCTTTGTCGTTGTAATGATAATTTATTGATTTATACATTTCTACATTAAGAACATTTTTCCTATTTTATGGAATAAATTTAAGTACACTTTTCATAAGCAGGTACAATATTTTTCCACTCTTATGTTTTCATTTACATAGAATATAGCAACAGACTCTAAAACTTCCCATGTTTTAGATTCCTATTGTGTTTTAGATTCCTTTAACTGCAACCTGCTCTTCAGTACTAAATATTAGTATAGAATCCATGAATTTAAGAATCAATTTTTTCAGTAATTTCTGTCATAATTCCAAATGCATATTTTATATATCTGTTAAGCCTAGATGACCCTCCTTTACATACTTATACATACTTTTAGAACACTTGGTTTTTTCACTTGTTTTTCTGATAATGGTGATTCATTAGACTGTATTTGTCCATAGCTTTTCATATATTCATATTTTATAAATGATACCACCTTTTAGCATAAAATAACTTAGAATCCTATTTCTACCTATGAGTTTAGTTCAAATTATTTACCTTAATTGACTCATCATAAAATTAACAAAATAATAACTATCAAATTAGTTTGTGTGTGTGTGTGTAGAGAAAAGGTCCATTAATGACTCAATGAATATTAACTCTTTCATCTTTTCACCTCACCTTTAAATTCACGAAATAAATACTCTAGCTAGAATGTTTCTAGCCAGAAGTGCCAGGTGTGGAGGAAAGAACAAAGTTGATTGTATTTAAAGCTACTTAAACTGGTATTTTTTTATATCATTTTATCATTTTCTCAAATTCAGCCTCAGAGAGCATTTTTCCCTATTGTCTCCTTTTTTAGTTAAATCATCTCCTCTAAACCATGTAGCCCAAAGGGTAGGAGCTGTTTTTCATTCATCTCTTTCTGTTATTTCCCTTATCTGGTCAGAGGGTCATAGAGTTTGGAAGCAGCCTTTGAGATTCAGTTTTCTTCCATTGCAGAGTGGTTCTCTCACATCTGCTGGGTAACTTGTAAATATCAAGACAATCTCCCTCCTTAAAAGAAAGACCTATCTCTTCTTTGAGCAACTGACACTGTTAGAAAGTCATACTTGTATTCAAGCAAATTTGTTTCTCTGAAACGCGTGTTCTCTGGTTAGAATTTATTCCTCTGTGATTATGTAGAGAACATTATCCTAATGCCCCTGCCTCGTATTAGTTCTTCACAAAAAGAAGGTAATATCTTGTGGGTCCTATGTTATTTTTCTTTTTTCCCCTTGGGATAAATATCCACAGCTCTTTTAATTGTTGTTGTGCGTATGACATGGTTTCCAGACCCTTCATCATTCTGTGTTTTACTCTTCCAAACAATTATCTAGGACTCTTTAAAAGCAGGGTGTCCAGAGCCAGACAAAATGCTACAGATATTGTCTTACCATAACAGAGTGTAGGAGAGATGAGATCCACTCTCACTCAGCCAGTGACTGAGTTTGTCCTTGACATCCACAAATTCATCTGCACCTTGCCATAACTCAAAATCCTAAGTTATTATTTGAGCATTTTTTTTTGTTTTTTTGTTTTTGTTTTTTCTTATGATACTGGGGATCAAACTCAGGACCTTACACTTGCAAAGCAGGTGTGGTGCCACTGAGCTAATCCCCAGCTGACCCTGTTCCTTTGAAATCTGTTAAAGTACAGCTCTCTTATTTTTGTACAGTTATTCTTAAGCCTAAATGCAAATACTTATATTTATCTTTTGAAGTCATTCATTTTGCTTGGTCAGTTCGGGCCTCACGTTTTTGTATGTCTAATGCACCTTCCTGCCCATGGCATGTCCTTCTCTCAAAGCTTTATTCTAGTCAGGAACTGTTCATCCCATCAGATACAAGTGATTCTTGTGCGTGCACATGTATGGCTGTATTCAAATGCTAATTTAGCCTTTTTATTTCCTGCGCTCTTGTGTGCGCATATGAGGATAGAACTCAAATCCCTGATCTGCTCCCTATTGTTTTCTCTATAGACTTCCTAGAAATCCCTTTACTAGTTCTCCCACTTATACCATAATTTTTAGCTGTCCTATTTCTTTGAATTTTAAAATAATTTCTGCTTTTTTAAAAAAAAATTGGATTAGGAAATGTCCAGCCCAGTAAATAAAAATAATCTAAATTTTGTACCTAAGCCCAATCTCCCAGGGTACTATAACCTTTGATCTAGAAAAGAGAAATCTTGTTCCTTGATACCATTTAGTTTCATCTCCCACTGCCCTTTCCAGAGTTACCACTTGCAAATGCAGGGAGAAATGAAAACACCACCTGTGCTCCCAGGCTCTCCATCTCCTATCTGGGGCTTCCACATCACGAGAGATAAATCCCAGGTTCTTTTCAGATGCTATAATGCAGCCACATATGATTCAGCAGAAGTAGGTAGCAGTTGGGTTTGATTAGTCTTGGCAGGCACTCTGTCACATCTCAGGAAAAGGTTCGAAGGGGACCACGCACCTCCCGATTAGCCATGTCAGACTTGCATCTGGCTTTCTCTGTGTCCTTCAATAGGAAGTCAGTGTCACCGAGAATGAATATCAAGATTCCCAACACTACTTTCCCCTATCTCTCATGGTAACTTCTTTTTATTCTCTAGAGGAGACAATGATGCTTCCCTTTGGAAGGTTTTGAGTTGACTTTTATGGGGAGGACTTCATGCTGCTATGTAACTCTAAGGTAGAGAGATTATTAATTATAGCATTTAGCATGAGTATATTGAAAACTAAATCAAATGCACATCCTGTACCTAAGGAAACTATAAATTAGAAAGAAAATGAGAGGCTTAAATTTCTGATATAATGATTAATATTTTACTGGACTTATAAAGCACTAATACATATATTATCTCATAAAATCCACATAGCTACTCTATGAGGTTATTATTATTATTCATTTTTACCATCAGAAAATTAGCCTCCAAGATTTTAATTGTCCTTTTAGGGACCATTAAGCCAATAAGAGGCAGAGATGAGATTTGAACCCTTTTCTGAAGTCAGTTGGCCTCTCTTTCCAACATCTTCTACAGCTAAAAAGAAAAAAATAGGTGATATAGCAGAGAAATTTTTGAGCAGTAGCAATGTGCCAGCTTCTGTTTCATTTAATTTTCACAACTGTTTGATAAGTAAACTTGATGTTATTTTTAATGAGAAAATGATGATGCCTGAAATGATCTGGACCTTGTCAAAGTCACCCACAAGCAAGTTACTGGAATGGTTCTTTTCAGAGCTTTCTTCCTCCTGAAGAATGGTAGTTTTTCCCTCAAATTGATTTCCTGCTCTGTTTCTCAGAGTTGGTTCTATTTTTTTTTTCTGACTCTCATTCAGATCACTCCTTATGTCTTACATTTACACAGTGGAAACTGTACTTGTAGAAAAATCAATCAGGAGCAGCTTTGTGGGAAAGAGTGAAAAGCTGTAGCACTCCAATTGTAAAGCCTTGACAATCATATGGGAGCTTCATTAAAGTGAACATTTCAAAATTCTGCCCTCAGAGTTAGTCCCTAGCTTCAGTAGTTCTTGACTGGGGCTCCAGCATCTGCATTTTCCAAATCTCTGAAGTGATTTTGTGGCAGGTGAACCAGAAAGATTGTGCTTTGACCAGTTTCCAACTGATGGACAAATGGGCTGTTTCCAAGTTTTATCTATTACAAACTGTGGCACTATAAACATAGGTGTTCATATATCTCTGTGATATGATTCTTTTAATTCTTTCAGAAAGATACCCAGCAGAGGGATAGCTGGGTCAAATGGGACCTCTAGTCTCAGCTCTTTGAGGTATCTCCATATTGATTTCCACAGTGGTTGCACCAGTCTGCACTCCCACCAACAATGGAGAAGGGTTCCTTTCTCCCCACAACCCCTCCAACATTTGTTATTGTGTGATTTCTCGATAGCAGCCATTCTTTGTGGGGTGAGGTGGAATCTCAGTGTTGTTTTCATCTGCATCTCTCGATTGACCAGCGATGTGGAACATTTTTTCATATATTTACTTGCTGTTTTTACTTCTTTATCTGAGAAATGTCTGTTCATTTCATAAGCCCATTTTTGAGAAAATGAAGAAATGGAAATGAAGTGTTTGTAAAGGGGGATGGAGGAGGGGTGAAGGGAGGGCAGGGACAAGGGGGAAAAATGAGAACCAAGACCTGTCATGTAAAGGTACAGGATCCCAATCATGAATGTAACTGTGCTGTATACCTACAATGTACCAATAAACTCAATGAGGAAAAAAGAAAGACTGTGCTTTGAAAAAAAAAATAAATGACAGTTTTTCCTCATTGCTTTTCCACCTTATGGTAATGTTTTTTTCACTCATTAACCCTGATTATTGATCTGAAGTCCACTGTGCCCCCTTGGAATTGATAGATTCCACGTTACCCCTCTTCACCGTCCTTCCCTCCACATCCTTTCTTGAAAATCTCCATCCTCCCTACTGAATAATAATGTAAGCGATGTTCTCCGTGTGATGCCATCTTCATCCAGGGGGATTATACAAACTTTCTTTAACACATAAATGAGGCTTCCCTGCAAGAAAAAGAAGAAGAAGGGATACTCGGCAGATTAGTGGCATGTACCCATTGATTACCTTGTCTGGTAACCACATCAAGAGAAACAGAAAGTGAATCTGCAGAGGTTTGCCCTTGAAATTCTTCCTGCCAACTCTATTTGTCATGCTGTGTACCTGTGAGCTTTTGTCGTGTAAAGCCTATTGAGATAGGACCCTTAAGATGGCCTGGCTCAGCTCTCCCCCAATCCAGGAGGTATTCTGGTTGGGTAGTAAGGTGTAGAACTGTGGTGTCCATCCAACCACTCCAGCAGACATCGCAAAATGATGAAAAGCTTCCAGTTCTTTCCTAAATTGATTTGCTCTTTTGATTTTGCTCAGCACCACGATTCCTTCACTTCCCATCCAATCTCCTAGTCAAGGCCTTCACTCTTCATTCCTGGTTCCTGGCCCTTTCCAATCCTTTAGGCATATTGCCTTCAGCATGACCCCAAAATAAATGACAGGCTAAGTCACCTCTACAGTACAACTCATAAGGATCCTGTGAACTGTTACATAAATTTAAAATACACTGTTTAGTATTCACAGCTTAGCCCTGCTCTACAAATTAAAAATATATTCCATATCTAACATTAGTTTCAACTTAACTCTTGACTGAACCATGGTTTACCAGAAGTTGTTTCTTCCTCTTTATTATCGCTATGTATGCTTTTTCTCTCAGGAAATTATTACATTTTCTTATAACAAGGTATTTAGCTTTGTTTCATCTTGATGTATGTGCTTAGCTAAACTGAGTTCCTCTAAGGCTCCAAATATATCTTAAACATTTCTGTGTTCCAGGTACAATGTTCACACCGAACAAGCATGCAGTAAATGCATACTGATGAATACAAAAAGGCTTCATGAAGAGTCTGTTACTTCAATTTAACTGATAATAATGTAAACATTTATTTTAATCCTTCACAGATAGTAAGATTTTGACCAATACTCTTTTTGTTCTGACTTTGCTTTCTGTCTTTTTAATTATCTCATCTTTAAGGTGATGTTAGTTGGACAAATCTTCCACAAAGAGTTCAAACCATTTTTGAAGAAATGGTATCATATTACTGGATTAAGTGGCGATACTCAGCTGAAAATATCGTTTCCAGAAGTTGTCAGATCCCATGATGTTATTATCAGTACAGCTCAAATCCTTGAAAACTCCCTCTTAAATTCAAAAAGTGGAGAAGATTCTGGTGTCCAGCTGTCAGGTTGGTTGAAATGCTTATTTTTAGGGAAAAAAAATGACTTACAATATTATTGTCAGTAATAGCTGTATTAGTTGAATCGTTTTGAAATGGTGATAGTTTAAACTGTCTTCCATTCTTTAAGGTTTCAGTGAAATTCTCTACTTCCTGGGAGAAACAAGCAAACAAAAAAAGAAAGTCAGGCCTGATGGCACAGGACTATAATCCCAGAACTCTGGGAGGCTTGAAGCAGGAGAATCCCAAGGTCCAGCCACGTTCAGCCCACTGCATCTTAGTGACAGCAAAACTCTGTCAATATATATATATATACATATATATATATACAAACACACACACACACACACACACACACACATATATTTTTGTTTTGTTTTGTTTTGTTTTAAAAAGGCTGGCAGTGTAGCTCAGTGTAAAGGCTATGGATTCAATGCCCACTACTACACATATAAAAATCAACTAGGTCTCTTTGTTCTGCAAGAGAATATCACTGTAAATCAAGTAGTCATTGGACTCTTCACTTACTTCTGAAACATCTTCCAAATAGTTTTATTGGCTAGTGCATCATGTTAGAACTGCCATTTTCTCCACAGAGAAAAAAACACAGTCCTTTCTATTTTCTGTGGGAGATTGAAGAGGTTGAAGAAAGGAAAGGAAAGAGTAAAAATAAGTATAATAATGAAATAAAATATTAATAAAAGATAAAATTATTTCTCTTTAAGTAAGGCAGTTTTCACTTGATATATTCAAAATAAAATTCACCAACCCCAAATTAAATATTTTATTAAAGAACAAAAGTATAATCCTGGGTAATTTTTGGAACAAGCAGAGTGTGAATTTCGCTCCTTAATATATTTTAGCCCCACGCACTTTCTGGATATCATCTATTAAACAGGGGTCATATCTAACAGGGACACTGTCATGATTAGCATGCATGAACTTGATAGGTACAGGTGTCTTATATAGTTAAGTTTTTTCCTGTAGACTGAAGGAGTGTCATGCCAGTAGGTTGGCCAAGAAAACTTTTCTATGGCAGTTCAATTCATTGGCTTAAGATACTTTTGTCATTGTAGCTTGTTGTTTGGAAAAATAAACTACTCAATTTTTCCTTCAAGATTTTTCCCTCGTTATCATTGATGAATGTCATCACACCAACAAAGAAGCCGTCTATAACAACATCATGAGGCGTTATGTGAAGCAGAAGTTGAAAAACAAGAGACTCCAGAAAGAAAACAAACCAGTGATTCCCCTGCCTCAGATATTAGGGCTAACAGCTTCACCTGGTGTTGGAGGGGCCACAACGCAAGCCAAAGCTGAAGAACACATTTTAAAAGTAAGTCATTAGCCAGGTATAGTGGTGCACAACTGTATTCACAGCACTCTGGGAGACCGAGGCAGGATGACCACAAGTGTATCCTTGCTTGGGCAACTCAGAGACTCAGGGAGCCCTGTCCAAAAAATAAACAGATAAGTAAAAAGAAAAGGACAGGGGGTGGAGAGAAAGAAAAAGAAAAGAAAGGAAATTAAGGAAGGAAGGAAGGAGGGAAGGAAGGGAGAAAGAAAGAAAGAAAGAAAGAAAGAAAGAAAGAAAGAAAGAAAGAAAGAAAGAAAGAAAGAAAGAAAGAAAGAAAGAAAGAAAGAAAGAAAGAGAGAGAAAGAAAGAAAGAAAGAAAGAAAGAAAGAAAGAAAGAAAGAAAGAAAGAAAGAAAGAAAGAAAGAAAGAAAAAGAAAGAAAGAAAGAAAGAAAGAGAAATTTTAAAAAAGAACTAGGAATGTAGCTCAGTGTAAAAGCCTTTGGTTCAAAACTCAGGACAGGGAGAAAAAGTCATTAAGATGTACTACTGTTGATCTCAAATATTAAATGAATCACGGTAGCCCCAAAGTAGGTTGGCACTATTTGAATTTTTAACTCCCTTTCATTGAATTCAGCAAAACTCATTAGCATAAAAAACATTCAGAGAGGTACTTATTAGCTCCAAATTTAATATATTTCTGGGATTAATGATTAATCTGTAGTCTGTAAGGGCAAAGGTTGCTTCCAGCTTTGTCCTGTCTTCTTTATGTGTGGAAAAGGCTGGTAAGATGACCCATAGATATCAAGATGACCCTTAATATGCCTATGTAATATGATTAGCTCATAGTCATTCTCTGTCAATTTCTGTAAATTGCTTTTACGTCTCATTCTCAGCTGAAAAATGGAAATTAAGGGATGAACAGAAAAAATACTACTTTTCTGGAATTTCTCACCAACTGGATTTAGAAGGTTGTTTTTATTATATCAGGATAAATATTGATTAATCAGATCCACAGTAAAGCAATACTAAAATGCTTTATTTAACAAGTAACATTACATATTACATGAAATTTTATATGCCATTTATGCCAAAACTTACATACTACATATTTCTTATGCAAGAAATACACTGAATCAATTACAAGGAAATAGTATTTCCATATTTTAAAATGTTTCTTTTCCAGATTTGTGCCAATCTTGATGCATGTACCATTAAAACAGTGAAAGAATATTATGATCAACTCAAAGACCAAATAAAGGAGCCATGCAGGAAATTTGTGATTGCAGATGACACCAGAGAAGTATGTGTTTAATATTTTCCGTCTACTTAATTGGTAATACCATATTCACCCGAAGCAAAGCGAGGCTAATTTGTATTGTCAACCTGAATAATACTATTCTAAAAGTTTTGCAAACAAGTTATAGTTTTAGATGAATATTTTTCAAAATTGATATTAGGTAACAAGGCAACACTGTTGTCTCCATCCTTCTTTTAGTTTTGTGTGTATAAAAAGTAGCTCAGTAATTCATTAAATATAAGCTTTGAAGTGAAGGTGTTAGTTAAGGAAGTTTTATAGATAAACTTCAGGGATTATGACAGTTGATTTTACCCCCTTTTTTGCTTTCTGAATGAATTCCAGTATTGATTTTGTGACATACCACAGATCCATTTTGTTGCTACTAGATTACACTTGGCGATTTTAATGGAAACCTTGTTTTAATACTTGCATATTACTTTCTTAGGAAATAACTGCCATGATAAATAAATTAAATTTTAATAGAGCTTTCTCATGAATATTTTTACTAATTATAAGAATCACTGAGAGTCAATTTGGACATGAGGCCAGTAGGTTATGCCACTAATTTCTTCAGTAAAATTGAAAGAGCATGATAGGGGCCGGGGATTTAGCTCAGCAGTTCGGGGGCCTGCCTTGCAAGTGCAAGGACCCGAGTTCAATTCCCGGGTCCAAAAAAAAAAAAAGAGCATGATAAATTTTAGCTATCTGAAATTAATAACAACTTTAATATAGTTTAAAATCTACCTCGTGAGGATATTGGGCTTAAGTGATGTATGTGCAATAGATAATGCTGAGCTTAGAAATGTAATAGGTATTCACAGTGATATATGTTTACCCATGTTTATAGCAGCACAGTTTTTTTTTTCAGGTTTAATTGAATTTATTGGTACATTTCAGGGATACAGTACAGTTACATTCATTGTTGGGATCTTGTACCTCTACATGACAAGTCTTGATTCTCATTTTTTCCCCTTACCTCTGCCCTCCCTTCACCCCCTCCTCCCCTCCCCATCTACAAACACTTTATTTTCATCTTTTCATTCTCTCACATTTTTATCTTTTCCCTTTTTACTCTTCCCCTACCCATCCCATGTTCCCTACACCTTTAGCTCCTTTCTTCCCATTTCTAAATGTCAGTAATCTTATTAGAATCTTATGCATTGTTGCAGATTATTCACACCAGGGAAACTATTCGGTATTTACACATGTGTGACATTTATTTCACTTAGAAGTATATCTTCAATATGTATCCATTTTCCTACGAATGAATCTATTTTCTCATTCTTTACAGCTGAGTAATATTCCATTTTGTAGAAAAACCACATCTTCTTTATCCAGTTTCCAATGGATGGGCAAATGGGCTGTTTCCAAGATTTAGCTATTACAAACTGTGCCGCTATAAACATGGGTGCACGTACTTCTCTGTGATATGATTCTTTTAGTTCTCTTGGAAAGATACCCAGCAGAGGGATGGCTGGGTCAAATGGAACCTCCAGTCCAAGCTCTTTGAGGTATCTCCATATTGATTTCCACAGTGGTTGCACCAGTCTGCACTCCCACCAACAATGGAGAAGGGTTCCTTTCTCCCCACACCCCTGCCAACATTTGTTATAGTTTGATTTCTTGATAGCAGCCATTCTTTGTGGGGTGAGGTGGAATCTCAGTGTTGTTTTCATCTGCATCTCTCGAATGACCAGTGATGTGGAACATTTTTCAAATATTTTCTTGCTGCTTTTACTTCTTTGTCTGAGAAATGTCTGTTCATTTTGGATGCCCATTTTTGAATCGAGTCTTTAAATTTGGGGCGAAATGATTGTTTTGAGTTCTTTATATATCCTTGATAATAGTCCTTTGTCTGAGGTACAGCTGGTAAAAATTTTTTCCCACATTGTAGATTGTCTCTTAGTTCTGCTAATGGTTTCTTTTGAAGTACAGAAGCTTTTTA